ATGTGCACTCCCAGGTTTCTAAAGCAATATGCTGAAAGCTGCCTTGCAGTTGTCTGCCTTAAGCTTGTTCTCATGTTGTTTCTCGGACTTCTCCAAAGCTCACCCATGTACTAAATGCTATCTCCTTCATAAAGTGTTTCATGTCTGAAATTCTTGTGGAACAAATGTTGCTTAAATATCAAAGAGCCCGAACTGAGAAAAACAAAACAAAACAAAAAACTCAGTTGTTCATTGTTTTGGGTGCAATGTAAGAGACTCTGTGGGCTGCTTATGCAACATGTTTTAGTGATGCATAAAAACAAAGCAAAGTCCCCTCCATAGCTTGTATATCCATCCCTATCCTCCAAAGCTACCAAATTTAAATGACTGCAGACTAAAGCATCTTCTTCTTGCTCAAACAAACATACATTGGAACTTGTGTATTAAGTTTAATGACATGTCTGGGACATAAATAGGTTAAGAGCCAAGGTATCTGGTGGTTATGGGCTGGTGTTTCAGGGTTATGCTTCCTGGGTTCAAATCCAAGCCCTAAAGCTCACACACTGGGTAAAGCTGAGGAAGTTACTTTACTTCATAGTTCCTCTTTATTAAAGGAAGATCATAATAGTTTGAACCTCACAGGGTTGTGGTGAAGGTTAAATAAATGAGTACATATCATGTGCTTGCAAGAGCACACTCAATAATAAGTGTAGCTCTGCTTTGCTCATACAGGTCAGGAGATATGCATTCACACACAAACGTTTACGCTTTATGTGAGATTATCATCATGCTTTCTCTTTGGTGGAATGTTTTCTTTGCTTTTGGGTTTCCTCCATTGCTCCTTACTCCCTGCTTTCTCTCTGCTCCCTTAACTACTTTAAGAAATATTATGGTTCACAAGTGTAAACTAATGTAGTCTTCTATATATTCTTCTGTATTGTTCCCAGTGATTCCATACCCATATCTCATTTATATGCAAATGTCATATTTATAAACACTATATACACATAGGCACACATACGTGTGTGTGCACACACACACACGTATGTGTGTGTTTTGTCATTGTTTCTACTCTAAAAGTGAAACCGTATGATGGACTATTTTCCTTTGCATCTTACTTCTTCAAAGTAATAAATTTTGGGAATCCCTCCAGGGCAATAGGCATGGCTTAATAATATTGTGTTCTGTAGATTACCATGATTTATCCCTTTGTGTCTGTATTTTTGCCACTGCAAAGAGTGGTGCGATAAAGATCTTGGTTCATATATCCTTAGTTACTTTTGGGTGTTATTCTGTGAGATATATATCCAGGAGATGGATTGCTGGGTCAAAAGCTTTATGTATCTCTTAATTTTAATAAATATTTCCAGGTTGCATACTAAAGAAGCTGTACAAATTTACTTTTCCACTAGTAGCATTTAAAATACTTTCCCCATATATCTCTACTGACAGTGCTATTATTGTCACTGTTAAAGAACTTTTTCAGTCTAATAGATTTCAAGTCGCAGTTTTTTGTTGGTTCAGTTTCCATTTTTCTGTTAGTGAATTTAAACAGTATTTTCCCATATCTGCCTGCTGTTTGAATTTGCTTGTCTGTGAATTGCTATATTTGTTGCTCATTTTTCTATTAGGTTGTTGTCTGTTCCTTGCCAATTTGTAAAGCACTTTTCATGTAATTATAGTTTTTAAACACTTATCTGTCATCTGAATCCCAAACATGTTTTCTAAATCTACCATTTGTTTAGTATCTTTGTTTATAGTATCTTCTGCCATACAACAGTTATTGTTTTTAGCCCTGTCTAGGCCTTTCCCAGAAATCGTAGTAAAATAGTGATGTGATATTTTATACTTAACATTTTGATCCATCTGATATTTTCATATCTGACATGGTCAGATAGGATTAGTACTTTAACTGTTTCAGAACGTGTGCCTGGTTTGAAGAAAAATTTCCTTCTATAGATCATCTTATTTTCTTTCCCAAATTGAGTTTCATGCTAATTAAATATTGAATTTTCATCTATGCACTTACTTTGTATCTAGCCTTTCCATCTAATATTTTTATCAATGCTAACAGATTCTCCCTTTTTGAGTGTCTTTGATTCTACGAGTACAATCATGTCTAGGAAATAGAGTTTCATTTCCAATATTTATACCAGCTATTTAATGTACTTATGTCATTGTTTTCATTAGACTTCCTGAATCAATATAGAATAAATGTGGTGATGATATTTCCAAGTCCTGGAATCCACTCGTTTATCCTCTTTTCCTATAGATTGCCTTTTTCATAATGTCATATGATTGAAATCTTACATATGCAGCTGTTTGGTTTGGCTTCTTTCACCTAGCAATATGAACATAAGGTTCGCCTGTGTTGTCACATAAGTTAGTTGAGTAGCCATCCCTTAGTTTGGGATTCAGATGATTCTAAATGAACCACAATTTGCTTATTCATTTGCCTGTGGAATGGCTTCCTGGTTGTTTCTAGTTTTTAGTGATAATGAATAAAGCTGCTAGAAACAATGGTGCATAAGTTTGGATGTGACAATAAAGTTTTAATTCAGTTTTGTAAATACTTAGAATTGGGATTGCACTGTTTTTTTGTGATAAGTATGTAACTTATTATTATTAATTTGATTTTTAAAAAAGAGTCAGAGTGGCTGGGTATTTGCATTTCCAGCAGTAATGAATGAGTGATTTTATTGCTCTGCATCCTCATCGGTATTTGGCATAGTAGTTGTTTTATTGGTTTTTAGTTCTTTATATATCCTGGACACTTGTCCTTTGTTAGGTATGTATACAGCAAAATCTTTGCCCTAGTCCATTCTTGTCTATTCATTTTCCTAGCAATATCTTTTGGCAATTGGAAGGTTTTAATTTTCATGAATTTTAATTTATTAATTTTTAATGGTTGGTGCTATTTGAGTATGGTGTAAGCAATCTTCACCTATTTCAAGTCTGTGAAGATACTCTTCCGTGTTTTCTTTTTCTAAAAAATTGATCACTGTAGCTCTACTTTTAAGCCCGCCATCCTTCTCAAGTTGGTTTTGATGTATGGCGAGATAAACATCATTGATTCATTTGTTCTCCATATGGACACCCAGTGAGTCTAGCACCATTTGTTGGGAAGACATTCCTTTCCCCCACTGAAATGTTTTCGTGCCTTTGTTGAAAACCAGTTGTCTACATATGTGTAAGTCCACATCTGGACTATTTATTTTATTCCATTGTTCCATTTTTCTATCATTACATCAATAATCACATTGTCTTAATAACAAAGCTTTGCAGAGAGTATTAAAGCTTTAATGCAGTCTTACATTTTTTCTTTTTAACATTGTTTTAACTATTCTATGTACTTTGTATTTTCAAAATAAATTTTAGAATGAGCTTGTCTGTTTATCACTTAAAATTTGAGCTGGATTGTCTTAAATCTGTAGGTCAATTTGGGGAGTATTTTATGTTAACAGGACTGAGACTTTTAATTCTTGAAAGCATTATAATCCTCTATTTACTTAAGTTTTCTTTAATGAATATCAACAATATTTTGTAGTATTCAATGTACAGATGTTGCAAATATTCATTAAATGTATCCCTTGGCATTCCATGTTTTTGGTGTTATTGTATGTGGTATTATTTCCTTAATTTTATTTTCCAGTAGTTTCTAATATATATGAACTTGACTGATTTTGAGTATTAACCTTTTATCCAACAACCTTGATGAATTCACTTATTGGCTCTACTACTTGCTTTATGAATGTCTTAAAACTTTCTGAGATAACATTTATAATGGAGAGGTTTTTTTTGCTTTCTTTTCTTCCTAATTCCTTTTATTCTCTTTCTTGCCTTATTGCCTCTGCTAAGACTCCTGCTCAATATCGAAGTAGTAAGAATGAATATCTTGATCTTAGGAAGGCAATGGAATTAATGTTCACTGTTTCACCATTACATATGCTATTAGCCATAGAGTTCTGGTGTTTCTTATTTTTTTTTTTTAGTTCTTTTATTGGTACATTTTAGGTATGCAATACATTTATATTTATCATTGGGTGCTTGTACCTGTACATGATGCATCTTTGTTCTTATTTTTTCCCCATTACCTGTGCACCCTTCACCCCCTCCACCCTTCCCTATTTACATAGATTTCATTTCCATTTTTTTTCTTTTCTAATAGTTTTTCCTTTCCCTCCTTTCCTTTCCCCTTCCCCTCCCTTCACCCCTTCATCTTTGGACTTTTTTTCCTATTTCAAATTATCAATTATTCATTTTAATCATTTTAACCCTTGTTTACACTATCAGTTTCTTATTTTTGTTTTTGGTAGTCACCTTTTATCTGGTTCATAAGGTTATTGAGAGATTTTCATTTTTCTAAATGAGTATCTAAGTTTGTTAAGTTATAATTCTGTATCTACTACAATGATCATATGGTTTTTATTTTGTCCTTTATTATGTTTTTGAGATAAACTCTAATATGTTGTGATAGATTAACCTTTTATTTATTTATTTATTTTATTTATTTATCTATTTTTTTGGTACCGGGGATCAAACTCAGAACGTTGTGCTTGCAAGGCAGGCACGGTGCCACTGAGCTAAATCCCTGGCCCCCTTTTATATATTTATGCATTTAAATCATTAGTATTTGTTAAAGATTTCTAGGTCAAAGCTGATGAGGTACAGTATACTGGTTTGTAGTTTTATTTCTTCTTCCTCTTCTTTTTTTCCATGCCATTACTAGGTTTTGAGATAAGGGTGATTGACTTCATAAAATATGTCAAATATACTCCCTTTTTCATTATTTTCTGAAAGAATTTTAAAATACTTTTAATTTAAATGTTTGGTAGACTTCATCAACAGAATTACTTGAGATTAAAATTTTTATGGGAAATTAGGATATTAATATGATGACTGCATTAATAGAATTAATATGGAGATAGTCTATATTTACCTGTTAGTTTTGTCTTATTCAGGCAATTTGTCAGTTTCATATAATATCAAATTTATTGACATCACTTTTAAAAATATGCTCTTATTATCTTTTTAATGTTTGTAGAATCTGCAGTGATCTCCATCATTCCTGATCGCAGCACTTCTCTCTGTTTCTTATCGGTATGTAAGGTGGTAGAAGGCAGCAGGATGTGCTCAGTGATGTGGATCCCCATTATTCCTCCAAGATGCAAGAAGGTGCTTCTAGCTCCTCAGTCTCCCTGCATTCTCCTAGTCCTGGAGCAGGAGGGAACTGAGTCAGTCTGTTATCTGCTCTTAACTCTTCTCTCGAGTCCTCCTCCTTCAGTTCCTTGCACCATGACTTGTCAGTGTTGTCCTCGGAGCTTTGGTCAGACCTGAAATAGGAGAGACTCAGGGCAACTCCTGCTTGTACCCCCTGGGCAGATCTTCCTCCTGTCCCACAGGGGCTGGGTGCCAGGAAATGGAGGGCTGCAGTGGAAATGGATGTGAATGTGTGAAGGGAGTGGACCTTTCCATTTCAGGGTCCAAATTTTATTCTTTAAATTTGTGACCATTGTCTGGACCACTTTAAAGAGGCACACAATTTGTGGGATTACAGATAGGCTCTGGGATCGGTTTTTATTTTTATTTCCACATTTTTCATTCTGTCCCCAAAGAATTTGCAAAGTGATATAGAAATGGAATCAATTGGTTATATTTCCCAAAGCAGGAACCCCCTTCCTTTGTTCTCAGTAAATTCTAAAGTGTCCCTTGTAAACAAAGGCTAATCAAGAGGTATGATTGGCTGAAGTTCTCTCTCTGATTCTCCTCTAAACATCACTGAAACCACTGGAAAATACTTTAATCCAAACACTTCTGCTCTCTGAATGCCACTTTGCTTCATTTCCCTTTTCAGTCTCTCTTCTCATAAAGTCGTTTACATGAAAATATGTTATGATTATTTTCACCTGCAGTAGACTACTGGCACATCTTTTGTTGTTTCCATGGAAACAATTATGCTATCAAAAGAAGAGAATTAAGATTTCGGTTAGGGTAGAAATTAGGTTGGGCAGATAATGTCGAAGAAATGCAAAGATGCCTCTATTTGTACCTGAAGAAAAACAAGATACAAATCAATAATTAGTCATTTTGTTTTATGAATATCTATAAGAATGTCAAATCAAATTTAGGTCGATTTGTGTGATTTTTGCTTACACATCAAAGCTAACAAGAGTCATTCTGTGCTCTGATTGGTGTTTAATTTTTCTCAACTACATTTGACCTCAAAATTAAAGTTATTTTGACATGGAGGGGGTGAAAGGAGGGCAGAGGAATGGGGAAAAAATAAGAACCAAGATACATCATGTAAAGGTACAAGATCCCGATGATGAATGTAGCTATATTGTATACCTAAAATGTACCAATAAACTTAATGGGGGAAAAAAAAGTTATTTTGACTCGAAACCCTGAATGTACTCCAGTTTTGACAAGCTAGCCAATAAGTTAGACTGCAGTTCTTTCGGGAAGGAATGAGAATTCTACCTGTTACTAAACCTTCTCATGTAAAAACGAAATAATTTGAAAGATGAAGCATTGCTTAATCAGCCATTTATCACAGGAGCTACATTTCCTGAGCCTTCACAGAGGACACTGTTTTTTCGAGTTTTCCTATAACCCCATCCAAAGTTGTTACATTTCCATTACCTTCCAAACTAGAAATGAATCACTGTCAAATAATATGGTATTGGATATTGAAGAGAAGCAATGTGAAGCTAATTGATTGTATTAATTGATAGAGGTACTCAATTTAAATATAATAATAATCACAAAATTTAACCTGAAAAATGGGCAGAGTAGGGAAATACTTAGGATCTCAGACAATTATGGTGAGAAAATAAACATTTCGTTTTATTGGAGTGTTTCTATTGTTTGCCCCAAGTTCTCTTTTTACAAGTATTTTTCATTTTTGGATTGTAGGTTGCTCAGTACTTGGATCTTTGCCATCATATACAATTTGCTTTTCAATAATTTTTTGTTTACCCTCTGTAGAAGTCATCTACGTTGAGCATCCTGAAATCTGGGAGCTTTTGATGGCAGATGAGTGAGTGAAGGGCGGCTCTCTCATGGCTCATTGCCTGCCAGGAGAGCGCTTTTCTACAGTGAGTTGCAGCTTGCTGGGGACTGAGCAATCTGGCTGTGCCACTCTGTAGAAGGGTATGGAGTGGGAAAGGGTGATCATGGTAAAACGGAGCCCTGGGTGGAGGATGTAGTATATTTCACGTCCTGTGCTCAGTACTTTCCATTGCAATACTCTAGTGGTCAGAGGCTTTTGAACCAGGCAGTTTGCTATTGAATCTGAACTCCCCGTTTACTGTGATGGGATGTTAAGCAAGCTACTCAATCCATCTCTGACTTATGCTCCTATCTATGAAGAAAATAATAACCTATCCACCTTGGTGGCTTATGGTAAGGCACAGAATGAGTCCCATATAATATTTATGATTACTTTCATTCTTAAGATTGCTTATAAGAAAAGTACTATTATTAGTTCCATTTTAAAAATAAAACAGAGAGAGCTTACAAACACAGTTTCCTCAAGGTCGCATTTCTCATTCAGTGACAAGATGGAATCTGAACCTGGGCCTGTTTGACTTTATACACATTGCTCTTCAGGATTAAACCAGACGTGGTTCTGCTCCTGAGTAATTGTGTGATGTTAAGAAAGATAATCCTTCACATCTTCATTTTCTAACTGTATGACTAATGAGGACCTGGGGAGAAATATAAACAAAGAGACTGACTTACTTACTGGAAAGATCTGCTTAGGAAGGAGGGAGTGGCTTCCCTAGAAGTCAAGACTACTAAGAAGTTAAGACTACGTCTAAGAGTCAACATGACATGGTAGGAATGTGTGTGGGGATTTAGACACAGTGTGGCCCTTTGTTTGCTATGAGGACTTAGGCAAACTAGTTTTCTCTTCTCTAAGTGGGATTCATCCAGCTAAGAACTAGTACTGCCTACCAGCATTACACCAGGTATTAACATCCACCAGACACATCACCTCTACAGGCTGCTTGGGGCTAAAATAAAACTCTAGACAGAGACTCCTCCAAGGAAAGAAAGGCTGGATAAGTCCTTTGGGCCAAACCACAAGCTTCAGACCCAGTTTCAAACTTTTATATCCTTATATTTCACTCATCTCCACCTCATCTACTTGTCAGAGTAAAGAAAAACCTTAGATTTCAATGTGTCAGTCAATGTGTTAGGAACCAAATACTCAGAGGATTGTACCTCAAAACAGTAATTTTCCATTTTGTTATATGTTTGGGGTTTAAGTGGCTCTGCTACTTCTTAGAGATTTGTTTTAAGTAAGCTTCAGTTCTCTTGTCTAGAAACTAAGGATGATAAAAGCTACTTCCAGAAGTTGCAGTAGGAATTGAAGCAAGATCTGTGTGCAGGAGTTCCTGACAGTGTGCCTGGCTCATAGAATGTGCTAAGCTATAGCTAACAAGAAGATTGCAGTGGTTTAAAATCAGATGAAAATCAAATATTTTAAGCTTTTTCTTAAAATTATAATGCAAAGTGATAAGAAAGGGCAACTTTTTTTTCTGTCTTCATCTATCATTAATGGGACCACTCAAGAAAACTGTATGTAGTCAGATTTTACTACTCAGAAAAATTTGGGTTTATATACAAATACTTGTTTTTAAAATGTGTTAAATTCTTTAATTTCGATGTGTCTGTAGATATGCACAGAATTATGACCTCATTCTCATCCTTGATGATCTTTAGATGAATCAATCTTCAGATGAATTACATCTTAAGGTGTATAGCCTCAGGGAGAAGTACAGTCTGCTGACTTCTGTTTTGTTGTAGAGCATCACATTAATGGCTATAAGAGGCTGTGGTTGGCTTTTGTCAATGTGGCAAAGACACCTGAAGAAGTCAACTTAAAAAAAGAAGATTTATTTTGCCTGCAGTGTTCAGAGGGTTCAGTCCATGGTCACTTGGCCTCATCCATTGCTTTGGGCCTGTGGTGATGCCGTACATCATAGGGGAAATATGTGGTGCAGGAGCTGCTCACTTCACAGCCAAGAAACAAAGAAAGGGCCAGGGTTCACTGTCCCCTCCGAGGACACACTCCCACCTGGCCTAATATCCTCCCGTGAGGCCTCACCTCTTAAAGTTCCACTACCTTTCAACAGGGCCCCGGGCTGGTGACCATTCCATTAGAAGATGGGCCTTTAGGGGACATTTAAGATCAAAACCACGAGAGAAGAATAAGCAAATGGTCTTTTCTCTGTAGGGTTCAGTCTCACAGACAATATTTATGCAGAAAGTCACAGAACATAAGGTTAAGGGAACAAATATTGAACAAATCATTTTGTTGCATTTGTAAGCATGGCTTACCCAGAGAGAGTATTTTCCCTGGCAATAGTATAGACATTATATTCCTCTGGGTGGCTTGTACAACACATTATATCTGGTAGTTCATATGGCAAAGAACTCCATTAATCTTTATTTCATACAGAACTTTCCTGATATATTTGCACAAATTATCTCATAATATCCTATAACAAACTTTGGATAGCATGACATAATTGAAAGTAAATGGGTTTTCTTAGGAAACCTGGGTTTTAATGCCAGTTCTCTAAATTTCTCAATTTTCTTAGTTATAAAATGGTACAGATATTATTATTAGGCTGAATATTATAAATTGTGGGTGCTTGGCCAAGTACCCACTAGTTGATTTAATTAAGGGCCTGTTCATTTTACCATGTACTGTCATAATCATGCAGGAAAAAGTAAAATCCTGAAAGAGCAGGACTACATACATATGCAATTTGATCAAGAGATGTGCAAATTGGACAATAATTGGGGATCTTGACTGGACATGGCAAGATCCTATAACTTGATATCTGGTGTTTCTGTATTTATGCATGTGTATTTGTGTATATTTTAATGGTTAGCAGGTATTCCTTTTTTAAAAAAATCAACAAAGTTAAAGACATATTTGAGATTAGCTGAACTATGAAGCAGTAACTATTCCTATCAGTAAAATAGCCCTTACTGTTCTCAGATGAAACCTAATATTAGACTAGGGGAGTAATTTTATGGGTCTCTGTGACATTAATTATGCCCTTAAGGGTTCTGATCTCTTCTCTGAATGTGATAATTTTCCTTTGCAAACTAAAATTCAAAGAGAATATAATCTTGCTGCTTGTTGTTCATCAAAAGATGACCTTGTGAGTAACAGTGAGATAAGAACTTTTTAAAAAGATTATACATTTCTTGTTTTTTTCCTAAATGCATGTTGAAACAACTCAAAACATGCATGTAATCTTTGCTGGATTTGACAGACAGCATCTGAAAATTCTGTCCTTGGAATATTATCTGAAAGCCTTCTTCTTCAGTCTATGTATAGTTGGGCCTTGAATAATTTTTGAAAATAAAACAAAGTCCTTGGGTAGTTGTCCAATGTAATCTATGTGTTTGTAATAGGGTTTTTGAGCTGTCATCTAGAAAGGAAATTTTCCACTCTGTTGCCTTTGGTTTTTGCCATGCCAACGAATGTGCGACTTCTGCAGGAGTGCTGGTGTGTGTGCTGTGAATACAGCTCCTGATGCTGATAAGGGTGCGATTTGTAGTAATTACTCTGCTGAAAGACTCACCACTGGCAAAACATAGACATCCATTACATTGTGAAAGCAACTGCACAGAAGCAGAACTCTACAGCGTTTTGTGGGACAGAAATATACACAATAATAGTTCAAGTAATTATAGAAAAATCTGCTTTACCAAGAATTGATCAAAATCCAGGAGTGATTCGAAAATATTAAGCTATACCAGACTTGTAAATTCTAGGTAGGAGTTAGGAAGGTAGAGCTAATGGAAGTGTCCTGTGGGGTGAATGGAAATCTATGTCAACAAATGGTTTTGATTTAGAAAATACTGTTTGGGAAATAGATAGCTCTACATTTTCTAGAGATGGCCTTTGGCATAAAAATGTATATATCTAGAAAAAAAATCCTTAAAGGATGAAATGTATATACTGTATAGTCATGAATTTTAATTTTCAATGCTGTATCATTTTAATATTTTCCAGGTGTGGTGGATATGGTTTGGAACTGTATTTGACTAAGGTCAAATTTGACCCTTATATAAAAGAATATGGCACTAGGGGAGACTTAATTTTCTCATATAAAATAGTCATCTGATGCTTGTCCTTTCAACATTGAAATCTCACACCCAAAGACTCTATCCAGCACAGTCAGGAGAAAGCTGTCATTAGAATAACAGATACTGGTTTCCTTGAATGATTACCATATTTCTATGTGCATAACAGATTTCTCACCTTTTAAAAACTTAAATCATTTTATGAAAATCAAATGTGATATCCTTCTTTTATATTTTAAAATTCAGAAATATCTAAACAACCTGACTTAAAAATTAAAGCAATTGTAAAAAATTTACATCAAAAGTATGTTTTTGGATTTACCATGTGATATAAATCTGAGCATTGGCTTCGCTTATAGCAGCTTTTGATGCAAGGAGGTATTGAAGTTTAGGCAGAGTGTAGGTCACTTTCAGGTTAAGCTTTTTGCAAAAAGAAATAAGTATCTGTGAAAGTAGAGTGATGACTTACACACCCTCTGTTTTAGGGATTAAATTTTCTGGAAAGTTTCTAAGATGATAAAGTTGAACATAATTTCAAAACTTTTTGAACCTGGAAAAGTTTGAAAAACATTAAGAATATAGTTCCTTGTTACAATTAAAGTGGAAACTTCAATATCATGACAGGAAACTATTGCCTGAGTCTGCTGCAAAAAAATTAATCAAAATTTAACTTTGCCCTTGGAGAACACTTTTTCACAGAAAATGGACAGAAATATTACCGGCAATTCACTTAATAATAGTGACTTAAACAATATCATAAAAAAAAAATCAAACCTTATTGAATACTTACCATGTGCCCATTGTGGCATTTTGTATCAGTTTTGAGAGCTATAGGACTTTAGCTAGGTAAATAGAAAGGTTTGAGAAATTGATTACTCAATCAACAAACATTTGAGGCCCTAACGTGGATGAGGGCCTCAGTGTAAACACTGGAAAATGTGCGAATGAGCTGTGAATGAGTCAATGAAAAAAAGGTATGTGAGGAGTAAAATGGGATGGAAAATCAAAACAAATCATGAAAGATGTTAAGTGTAGAAGTATTAAAATATTTTTAAAACTTTAAAAAAATTTATCTGAAAAAGTGATATGGTTATGCTGGAACTCAAATCACAGTTTCAGATAGGAAATTCTAGATAATGGAAAAAATGCTTTTTCTCTTTTGCATCGTGTTCTTAGCTTACAAAGGTAGGATGAAAGTTTTATATATTTAAATTTTTTAAAAATTGGCACATATCATTGTACATGTTTATGGGGCCCAGCTTGATGTTGAATATAATGTGCAGGGGTCGGGTCAGGGTTACTGGTATGCCTTTCACTGCTTTGTGTTGCAAACATTCAGCACCCTCTCTTCGAGCTATGTTCAAAGAAGTAATTAATTGCTGCCAGTCGTTGCTGTCCCACTGTGCAGCAGAGTGCTAGAAGTCACCCTTCCTGCTGCCTGCCTGTCCATGCTGACCGCCCTCTCCACTCTGCCCAGCGCTCCTAGACAGCTGCTTCAGAGCTGCCTTTGCAAAGCTGACTTTGGTCCATTCATCCACCTTCCATGAGGACACTGTAGGAGACAAGTCTGCTTTTTTGAGTTGCAAATGTATTT